GGCGGGGAAGGAAGAGAGAGGCTTGAGGCACGGCGCACCTCTCGAGCCCGCCTCTCCGAGCCTGCTGCGTGCGGGCCTCAGTGCGGGCCATGGGCCAGTGCTGCCTGGTGCAGAGCGCGGCGGAAGACCGCGCTACTTCTCGGTGGGTTTCGGAGGGGAACCACCTCATAATCCTAACTTTGTTATGCAGTCAGTTCTAATTCTTTGGCAGGGCATGCAATTCGAGGTGGCTTCGTTTGACAGGATTCCATGAGCTCATTAATTCATTCATTCCCCCCTCCTCCGTTTCCTCCTTCTCGTTTCACCCCCTCCTCCTCATCTTCCTTCCCCCTCCTCGTGCCGAGGCTTTCCCTCCTCCTCCTCCTCCTCCTCCTCTTCCTCTTCCCTTTTCTCCTCCTCCCCCGTTCAGCGGAAGGCCATAACTTTCGGAAAACCGGATAAAAAGAAAGAAACTGAAGTTCTGGAGGCAGAAGTCTTTGAGAAGCCAGTGGACAAGCCAAACAAAAACATCTCCGGGAAAACCAGTCCGCCCCAGAGGGGAGGTTACATGGGCGGGCGGCGTTGCTTGGAAACTTTGTTTTTTGTGTTTTGTTTTGTGTTTTTTCCCCAAGGGGTTTTCCAAAGTTTCAGCCCCCAGCAATCCAGTTTCATTTGTTGTTTTTTTCTCCGGGAAATCCTGAACTATGGCGTTTCGCTGGAAGGAGGGAGGAGGAGGAGGAGGAGGAGGAGGAGGAGAAGGAGGAGGAGGTGGTCCCGTCGGACGAGTCTTCCCTGGGATCTTTGTCGTTTTTCCCTCCCCCCATGTGTTTTCCAAAGTTCCAGCCTCCAGCAATTCAGTTTGTTGTTTTTTTCTCTTAGGGTTTTCCTGAAGTTCTGGCTTTCCCTTGGAAGGGGGAAAGAGGAGGAGGAGGAGGAGGAGGAGGAGGAGGAGGAGGAGGGGGATGAGGAAGAGGAGGAGGAGGAGGAGGAGGAGGGAGGAGGAGGAGGAGGAGGAGGAGGAGGAGGGGGGGAGGAGGAGGAGGAGGAGGGGGAGGAGGAGAAGGAGGGAGGAGGAGGAGGAGGAGGAGGAGGAGGAGGAGGGAGGAGGGGGAACGGGGGGGTGGAGGGGGGTGAGCAAGAGAAAAATGATGAGGAGCACGAGAGGATTATAAGATGAAGGGGAATGAGGGGGAGGAGAAGGAAATGGAGGAGGAGGAGAAGGAGGAGGAAGAAGAGGAGGAGGCTTTGCGCAAAATTATCAAAATCGCGGGGGTCCGAAACCGAACCGTAACCTACGTTTTTTATTCTTCGGGACTCCGGCTCTCCTCGGGGCCCGCCTGCGTCACGCCAGCTCGTCCTCTGGAGGCCGTCTTCGGGCACCGGGGCTCTTGGGCGAAGAAGCGGGTCCGGAGTGGTGGTGGTCGAGAGCTCTTGCAGTGTCCTACGCACCTCCGTGTGCATGACTTCTGGCTTGCACGCCGATCCTACAGCCCTCACTCCCGCTCGGTACTCCATGTCTCACCAGGCTGCCCTCGCTCCCCTCGCGCCCGGCTTTCTTGTACAGTCACGAAGTTTAAACAAGGACCGCTTTGGGCTGGGCTCGGACGAGAGGGTGGAGTGGGAAGGGGAGGGGTACGGAACCTGCTGCCAGCGGCCAGTTCCGACCCTGGCGCCAGGCGCTTTCCCCGATACACTGGCGCCTCTGGCGCCGGGAAGAGAGGGAATCGCGTGCAGCCGATGTGTGAGCCCTCCGCCTTCTCTCCCTTTGCTATCCGCCGCCCCCCCCCAGGGTTGGGAAAACTATCCAGGAGCACAGTTATCGGGTTGGGAGGATGGGGCTGGGAGAAATGAGGATATCATTGCCCGTAGGCGGCCGAAGGTATCGTTCATCGCATCGGGTGCTGTTGCGCACGCGCTGCATCCTCCCAACCCCTTCATCCCGGTTTTATCAACGATTCGTGGCCGAGGGTCGCCGCTGCCAGAAAAGTCCTTTCGTTCCTTCCTTCTGGCAGCATGGTGACAGAAGCGGTTCCACGCGTGCTGCCCCATTCTGCGTCCCAGGAAAAGTGCTACAGCCGATCTCGTATTTCCGCTCAGCTTTGACGTATTGGCGCCGCCCCTGTGACGCGCACGGCAGGAGCCGGACGCGGCGCACCGCGCGCGTCCGAGGGCGGAGAGCCGTTCCCGCCGCAGCTCCGCGCAGACGTTCTTCCAGGAGGGAGAGCGGGTGTCAATGACATGCTGCCGTTGGGAGACCGTCAGCGTGCTGCTCTCTCGCCGTTGTCTGAAGGCCTGGCGCCTCCCCAACCGTAACACGCTGATGGGTTCCCTACGCACGGCGTGTCATGGACACCGTGTTTCCGCGGACGTTTTGAGTTCGTAGTGGTCGCCCCCCGGTTCTTGGAGCGTTGCGCTCGTGCCTGGGCGCGGCGCGCTGTTTTCGTTCGACAGGCCGTCTGGGGCGCGCCGCCCGCGCGAAAGGGCGGCACTCGCCCTCGCCGCAGCGCCGCGCAGATGCGCCCTGGAGGCTGAAATCCCTCCCGGGCGCCCTCCTGGCGCGGGGGGTGGGGGGTTCCTTCTTCGCCTCCTCTGCTCCTCCTCCTCCTCCTCCTCTTTCTTTTCCTCCTCCTCCTCCTCCTCCTCCTCCTCCTCCTCCTCCTCCTCCTCCTCTCCCCTGTTCCTCCGTTTATCCGTAAGGGCTTCGCCCCATGCCCCCGGCCCAGTCACGGATAATGGGAGATGCAAAAGCTAAATCATGAGGACTGGGCGCCGCCGTGAAGCAGTGTCGGGACCTGTTTGTTTTTCGACCCTGCCCCTACGGATCTGCGTCACGGGTGCCACCGGATTTCAGAAATCTGGCACACCCCTTATGTTTTTGGACACTGACCCTACGGATCTGCGTGAGGGGTGCCGAGGAATTTTAGAAATGTGGCAAATCCCATGTGTCTTTGGACCCTGACCTTGCCGATCTGCGTGAGTGGTGCCACCGAAATTCAGGAATGTGGCAAATCCCATGTGTTGTTGCACCCTGACCCCGCCGATCTGCGTGAGGGGTGGCACCCAATTTCAGGAATGTGGCAAATCCCATGTGTTTTTGCACCCTGACCCCACCGATCTGCATGAGGGATGCCACCGGATGTCAGAAATGTCGCAAATCCTATGTGTTTTTGCATCCTGACCCTGCCGATCTGCGTGAGGGGTGGCACCCAGTTTCAGAAAGTTTGCAAACTCCATGTGTTTTTGGATCCTGACCCCGCCGATCTGCGTGAGGGGTGCCAGCGGATTTCAATCATGTGGCGAATCCCATGTGTTTTTGGACCCTGACCCCGCCGATCTGCGTGAGGGATGTTAATTTTTATTCACTACAGTGATTCAGAACACACCCTCAGGGCGTGATAAAAATGCTCGTTTTGAGCCTCCCGCGAGGGCAGTGGAAACTGGAAGCTGCAACTGGCACAGGAAACTGCGAAGCTTCGGCCTACAGCCTGGTGGCCCCACAAGGGGGCCGGCTCATCTTTTGTGATAGATAATTCACTCCTCCCCGTCGCGCCCCGAGGCCTCTCGTAAGGGCGGGCAGGGCGTTTCGCTGGAGATTCCCTTGCCATTTGCGATCATGAAGCCAACAATTCAGCAACAGTTTCATAGATGGAGGGCGGGTCGCTTCCAAAATGTGGCTCTCGCCTTCGCGCCGTGCACATTCTTTCAACACGATTGCAAGATCTGCGCGGATTGAGGGTGGGCGGTTTTCAAAATGAGGCTCTCGCCGTAGCGCCTTGCACACTCAGTCTAAACAACTGCAAGAGCCTCGCGGATTGAGGGCGGACGGTTTTCAAAATGTGGCTCTCGCCTTAGCACCGCGCATATTCGTTTTCAGAATGCATGAGTTTCATTGGTTGAGGGCGGTTGCTTTTCAACATGTGGTTCTCGCTTTGGCGCCGCTCACATTCGTTTAGAATATGTGCAACAGTTTCGCAAGCTCCCATGGTCAGCGTACGGCCTGACCGAGATATGAGATCGAGGTCGGTTCGTGCAGGGCACCCTATTGTTATTCGTGTTTGTTGTATTTTCTTGTGCATATTAGGGGGAGGGTGTACCCTGAAGGATGTCTCTTCTGTCTCGGGGAAGGTCTCATGTTCTTGAAGGGTGTTCTTCTGTTTCTGCTCCGATTGTACCAGGAATGTCGTTTTGGAACGATTCAGGATTGTCAGGGCGCAACAGTTACGTATATTTGCCGTGCTGAAGACGCAGGAATGGTGCTCCAGCACGATTCAGGATCGTCAAGACGCAACAGTCATGATGATTCGTGGCGTTGAAGTTCCGAGACTGGTGTTTTGGTACGCTTCAGGATCTTCAAACGTTTGTCTCCCAATGAGGCACTTCCTTCAGTGGTAATGAATCCTTGTATGGGGCATATGCAGGGGGAGCTTGGAGGGAGGGCATATTCCAACATCGTTGATGAGTTCTGGGTTTGGCACTGGTCCTTCTCCTCCTCCTCCCCATCCTCCTCCTCCTCCTCCTCCTCCTCCTCCTCCTCCTTCTGTAGCCAGCCGCCGTCGCCGACGTCGTTGTCGCTCTTGCCGTCGCCGCCGTCTCCACCGGGGCGGCGGCCCTCCCCCGCCCCCCGCGGGGCTCCTGAGTCACGAGGCGGATCCGTGAATGGCCGGGTGTCCTGGCCCCGCCCCCCGCCCTGCACCAGTAGGGCACCTCTAGGCCTCCTAGATGGGGTCGGAGTACATGGGGTCGGAGGATCGCGCCACATCGCCGATATACCGGTCCGTGCCGCGCAGACCTCTCCTGAGCGTTGCGTTCGCGCTCTGGCGCGACGCACGTGTTCCCTTGCCCCCCTCGCCAAGCAGTCAGACGCGGTTGCACCAACGTCAGCATCTCAATCCCTCCATCCCTCCCTCCTTCCCTCCTCTCCCCGCCCCCTCCGTCGAGGGTTCGGGCTGACCGCGTTGTCCCACGCGGCCATTCCCCGACCGGGCACAGGGGGGGCGATACCCGCGGCCTGTCCGCCCGAGGTTCGCGTCCGCCGCGGAGTTGCCTCAGAGCCCGGCCCCGGAGACGCAAAGCCCGGCCATGGGGGCAAAGAAGTCCGAGGACACCGCCGGGGAGGGATCCAGCATGGAGTTTTTTTGTTTTTGATCGGGGGGGTCCGCTCATACACACACACACATATACATATATACATATATGTGTAAATATATGTTGCTGCGCATATATATATATATAGAGAGATATAGATATAGTTACATTATGTATATATATATGTAAATGTATATATGTATAGATATCGGTATATTTGTGTGTATATATATATATATATATATATATATCCGAGTGAAGGGGCCGTGCGGTCATTCACTGTCCCGGGGCGCGTGGCTGAAGCGAGGTTCTGCTGAGTTGGTTGTTGTTGTTGGTGAAGTCGCAGTCTTGAACAAATAATAACTGTTGATCCCCCCCTTCAGTCACAGTTTTTTTTTTTTCGATTGGAGTGTCCCTCCCAGGGCTCGCACCTTGTTTTTTTATGCGGGAAATCATCATCCTCAAATTGCGCCCCTGGCCCCCAGACTACAACAACAACGGCTCCCGCCGAATAGTTCTTCGCAATTTACTGAGGAATCGCGCTCTCGCTATGGACTTCCTTACAATGTATCCAAGAATCGCGCTTTCGCTTGTGACTTCCTCGCAATGGATTCAGGCACCACGCCTTCGCCATTCAGGAATCGCGCTCTCGCTTGGGACGTCCTCATAATTTCCTTAGGGGTTGCGCTCTCGCCCGAGATTTCCTGGCGAGCTACGCAGGATTCATGCGTTCGCGTAGCATGCGTGCTTTTTCCATGAAGCTCCTCTTCCGGGGCTCCTTGTGTTTTTACCGGGGAAGGTCCTTGACCCCCAGTTTACAACAACAACAACAACAGCAGCAACAACAACCATTTTCAGACTGTTCGCTTCTATCTGCTCTAGTGTCAGTCAACGTGTATTTCCCAAACTCGATACCCGCTCGTTTTCGATCGTACCCCTTTTGGGGGGTATATCTTTCTTCGTTGCAGGCTGGGCCCCGGCAAGCGGCGGGCCGGCCGCGGACCGTCGGCCTGGCCAGCGGCAGCGCTGATCGGCGGCAGCCCGACCCCAACAGGGACGGACAGGGGACCGACCACGACGACGACGACGACGACGACGGCGACGACGACGAGCGAAAGCGAAAGCGAAAGCGAAAGCGAAAGCGAGAGCGAGGGCGAGAGCGAGGGCGAGAGCGAGAGCGAGAGCGACAGCAGGGCCACGAAGGGCACGCACATGTGGCCACGACGGGCTCGAACCAGCGGGGGCCACGAAGGGCAGATAATGCGGGGCCACGAAGGGCAACGACGGGCCACTGAGGGTAGCAACGGGGCCACGTAGGGTAGCGAGGGGGCCGCGAAGGGCTGCAACGGGGACACGAAGGGCAGCGAAGGGGCCACGACGGGCGCGAACGCGCGGGGGCCAAGAAGGGCATGCGTATATTGGGCCGCAGAGGACAAGGACGGGGCCACTGAGGACAGCGACGGGGCCACAAAGGGCATCGAGGGGGCCGTGAAGGGCGACAGCGGGGCCACGAAACGCATGCATATGGGGCCGCGACGGGCGCGAACGGGCGGGTGCCACGAAGGGCGTGCGTATCTCGGGCCACGAAGGGCAGCGAGGGGGCCACGAAGGGTTGCAACAGGGCCACGACGGGCAGCGAGGGAGCCGCGAAGGGCTACAACGGGGCCGCGACAGGTAGCGAGGGGGCCGCGAAGGGCTGCAATGGGGCCACAAAGGGCAGCGAGGGGGCCACGAAGGGGTGCAAGGGGGCCACGAAGGGCAGCGATGGGGGCCACGAAGGGTTGCAACGGGGCCACGAAGGGCAGCGGGGGGCCACGAAGGGGTACAAGGGGCCACGAAGGGGCAGCGAGGGGGCCGCGACGGGCTGCAACGGGGCCACGAAGGGCAACGATGGGGGCCACGAAGGGCTGCAATGGGGCCACGAACGGCAGCGAGGGGGCCCACGAAGGGCTGCAACGGGGCCACGAAGGGCAGCGAGGGGGCCACGATGGGCTGCAACGGCGCCACGACGGGCAGCGAGGGCGCCACGAAGGGCTGCAACGGGGCCACGAAGGGCAGCGAGGGGGCCACGAAGGGCTGCAAAGGGGCCACGATGGGCAGCGATATCCCGATTCTTGAGTAAGCTGTGAGGCAGTCCTAAGCGTGGGCGCGATTCCTGGATACCTGAAAGTCGTGAGCGCGGCGACTGCGCGAATAGCAGGAAATTCCAGCGCAGGAGCGCGATTTTTATATGGTAAAGTGCAAGCAAGTCTCCAGCGAGAGCGCGATTCCAGAGCGCCGAGAGAGCGGTTCTGGAATACATTAGAAGGAAATCCAATGCGAGAGAGCGACGCCTGAGTAAAATTCGAGGAAGTCTCAGGCGGGAGCGGGGGTCTTGGCTAAGTTGTGAGGAAGTCTCTGGCGGGAACCGTTGTTGTTGTAACCCGGGGGCCTGGGGCGCAGTTTGAGCGTAATGATTTTCTTTAGTAAAAAAACCAGGAGGCGAGCCCCGGGGGAAGCACTTCAATTGAAAAGACACAAATGTCACCCAAGTGGGGGATCAACATTATTTTAATGATGAGAGTTGAACAACAACAACAATCAATTTAAGACTGTTCGCTCTTACCTGCTCGCGCGTACCTCACCACGTATGTCCCAAACCCTCGATACCGGCCCTCTTCGTTTTCGGTCGTACCCCCTCTGCGGGGCACATATTCCTGATCTGCCACGCGCATTGGGCGTGCCCCCCCAAAAAAAAACAAGAGGAAAGAGAAGAGAGAGAAAGAGAGAGAGAGAGAGAGAACAACAAAGAGAAAGAGAGAGAGAGAAAGACAGAGAGAGAGATAGAGAGAGAGACAGAGAGAAAGAGAGAAAGAGAGAGAGATAGTTAGAGAGAGAGAGAGAGAGAGCGACAGAAAAATAGACGGATAGAGAGAGAAAGAGAGAGAGAGAGAGAGAGAGAGAACAAAACAAGCGAGGAGGAAAGGAGAAGGGGAAGGGAGGGAGGCAAGGGACAAGAGGGATGGAACATAACTGCGGACGAGAGAAGCAGCAATCGGGGCACGAAGGGCAGCAATGGATCCAGTGAGGGCACGAGCGAGCGGGAGCCACGAAGGGGGTATACATGGGCCACCAAGGGCAGCAACGGAGCCACAATGGGCAGCGATAGGGGCCATTGAGGGCAGCAGCGGGGCCACGGAGGGCAGCAAAAGGGCCACTGAGGGCATTGACAGGGCCACAGAGGGCAGCAAGGGGGCTACGCTGGGACCGCGAAGGACAGCAACGGGGCCACTTGAGGGCGCAAGCGACGGGAGTCCACGAAGGGCAGCGATGGGGGCCATTGATTGCAGTAGCGGAGCCACAATGGGCAACGGGGGGGGCATAAGGAGCTACGGTGGGGCCACGAAGGGCAGCAATGGGGGCCACTGGGGGGACGAGCGACTGAGGGCCACGAAGGGCGTATATATACATATATATATATATATATATATATATATATGGGCCACAAAGGGTAGCGAGGGTCTACATTGGGCAGTGGGGGGGGCACACGGGGCTACACTGGGGCCACGAAGGGCAGCATTGGGGCCACTGAGAGCACGAGCGATTGGGGGCCACGAAGGGCGTATACTTGGGCCACCAAGAACAGCATTAGGGCAGCCACTGGGGCCACTGAGGGCACGAACGACTCGGGGCCACGACGGGCGTACATATGTATATGTATATATATATATATATATATATATATATGTGTGTACATTTGCTTGTGTATACATATATATATATATATATATATAAATGTAGGCCACAAAGGGCTTACGCGCTTACGCCAGGACAGCGAAGGTCAGCAATGGGGTCACTGAGGGGACGAGCGACTGGGGGCCACAAAGGGCGAATGTATGGGCCACAAAAGGGCGGCGAAGGCCACTTAGGGCAGCGGGGGAGAGGCACACGGAGCTACATTGGGGCTACGAAGGGCAGCAATGGGGCCACTGAGGGCACGAGCGAATGGGGGCCACGAAGGGCTGCAATAGGGTCCACAAAGGGCAGCGAGGGGGCCACTGAGGGCAGCAGCGGGGCCACGAAGGGCAGCAATGGGTCCACTGAGGGCACGAGCGACTGGGGGCCACGAAGGACGCGTGTGTGTATATATATATATCTATATATATATATATATATGTATATATATATACACATATATATACAAATATGGGCCACAAAAGGCAGCGAGGGGCCACTGAGGGCAGCATCGGGGCCACGAAGGGCAGCGATTGGGCCACAAGGGGAGGGGTTTCGAAGGGCAGCAATGAGGCACAACGGGCGGGCGCGAGCGAGCATGGGGCACGAAGGGCATGACCCTGACAGGCGGGCCGAGCGGGCGGATCGAGCGTGAGTTTTGCGTGATTAGCCAGGAAGTTTCCAGCGAGAGAACCATTCTTAACTAAATTTCCAGAAGGCCCCAGCGAACGCGCGATTCCGGAATGGCAAGAGCGCGCCGACTGAATACATTGCGAGGAAATCTCAGGCGGGAACGCGATCTTTGAGTTTTTCCGATGAAGTTTCAAGCGGGATCGGGGGACCGGAGTAAAATTCGAGGAAGTATCAAGCGGGAACCGTTGTTGTTGTTGTTGTTGTTGTTGTTGTTGTTGTTGTTGTTGTAAACCGGGGGCCAGGGGCACAGTTTGAGGATGATGATTTTCCTTGATAAGAAACAGGGTGCGAGCGCCGGGAGGGGCATTTCAATTGAAACACGCAATGTGCATTGGAGGGGGGGTTAACAATATGCATTGTTTAGTGATGGAAGTTCAACAACAACAACAACAGCAACTGCTCCCGTTTGATACTTCCTTGCAATGTACTGAGGAATCGCGCTCTCGCTAGGGATTTCCGTGTATTTTTGTTCCTAAGAAGCGTGCTCTCGCCTAGCAATTACTCGCAATGTATCCAGACGTCGCGCTTTCGACACTCAGGAATCGTGCTGTCGCTTGGGATTTCCCCGCAAGTGATTCAGGCGCCGCGAACTCGACACTCAGGAATCACGCTCT